TGACTAAGGCAGGGACAGATGGGCACATTGACTAAGGCAGGGACAGAAGCTCAAGGTCATCCTTGGCTATACAAAGAACCCCAGGCCAGCCTGGGCTATGTAGAGAGAACTTGTTCCTCCCCTTCCTCAAAATACAAGGATAAGGAGAGGGTAAATGAACAAAAAACAAAAACAAAAAACCCTCTGGAGTCCCCCAGAAAACATCAGAGCTGACAGACACTTGCAGCGACATGGCAGGACACAAACAGCTTACAGGCACCAGGAGCTGCTATGGAGCTGGGGCTGCACCCAACAGCAGGTGATGGAGCGTTGTCTGCCATGCATGAAGTCCTGGGTTCAGTTCCCAGGACGGCATAAACGGGGCCTGGTGGAGCACACCTGAATCTCAGCCTTCAGACGGAGACAGGAGGATCAGAAGTTTGAGGTCATCTACACGTTGATCTGAGGTCTAGCCTGGCTGCACTAGGCCCTGTCTCAAACCATCAGCAGTGTTTTCTTTTTCTTTGATGCCAATAATAAATTTACTGAGAATGAATTGGGAAAAAAATTTCGTTCACAGTTGTTTCAGTGAGATAAATAGTGGGGAATAGGTAGAAGGGGAGAGAGTGGTCAGAATGCATCCTATCCATGTGTGGGATCAAGTTTTAAGGAACAAAATTTACTAACAAAAAAAATAAGTAAGCAAAGGTACACCTGAGAATAATCTAATCAGGGAGGTGAGGCCTCTCTACAGTGAACACTTAGAGACTCTTAAAGAAGAAACTGAGGACAGCACTAGACGATAAGACATCTCTTCCAGGCTCCTGAACTGGCAAAATCAATATTGGGAACATGACTATATTACCATATGTAATCTATATCTGCATTGTAAGGCCCATCAGAATTCCAATGATAAAGGTGGAGGTGGTGGCGCGCGCCTTTCATCCCAGCACTCGGGAGGCAGAGGCAGGCGGATCTCTGTGAGTTTGAGGCCAACCTGGTCTACAAAAAAAAAAAAAAAAAGAAGAAGAAGAAAGAAAGAAAGAAAAGAAAAGAAAATCTGGGCAGTGGTGGCACAAGCCTTTAAACCCGCACTCAGGAGACAGAGGAAGGCTGATCTCTGTGAGCGCTGCCAGCCTGGTCTACAAGACAGGCACCAAACACCATAGAAAAAAGAACAAGCAGCTCCACACCTGGACCAAACCCGAAAGGCTCCAAGCCCCACCACAGAGACATTTGCACTCCTGTGGTCGCAATTGCCCTAGCCACAGCAACAGAAAAGGAGACCAGCACAGCTGTCCGTCAGCAAACAAATAAGAAGAAACGTGGGAAACATATACGGCAGGATTTCACTCAGCAACATAGAAAAAGTGAAACTCCAAAAAGTTCAGGGCACTGAAAGGACAGGATATTGTCATGGGAGAGAGTGGTACCTCAGTCTCAGGGAGCACACATTCCCGTCACACGGGAGCCTCCCACACAGCCTGAAACTAGAAAGTGGGCCTGGGGAGAGAAAACAAAGTTTTTTTTTCGGGGGGGGGGGACACACATGCAACATGAAATTGGAAAACTAGAGGTGGAAGGGGCAAAATCCAGGGAGACCATCAACACAGACGCTGAAGGAAAATCCCGGTAGGGAGCCTAACACTTTGAAGGGCTAAAGAGAGAAAAAAGAGTACTTCACGGTGAGTGTGGCCACCTGCACACTCCCTCTCACAGGAAGTGGGGTCATGGGGTTCCTGACTCTGAGCCTCCCAGGCCTGCAGGCAAATCTATGTCCCCTCACTGGCCGACTCTTGGGAATCCTTTCCACTTCCTGGATGGGACACTGAGCAGAAGGCAGGTCTTTCTATAGCTGCAAAAATTTCTACACCCATGAGCACAGGACCCACACAGAACCGGAGCCGGGTCCTGAACCTGTCCCTGATTGGCGCTTCCTGTGGTTACTCTCCTGACTCACCTTGCCCCAGGTGATGTTTCCTCCTCACTTTCTCTTTCGCTGGAGTCTCACCTGCTCTGGCCCCGCCCTGCTCCCGGACTTCCCCAGTCTGCGCTGCTCTGGTGGCTGGTGTCGATCTCCAGCCCTGTTTTCGCTTTTCCTACATCAGCCGGGGCTGCCCACGAGGCCAGGTTAAAAGCATGGAGCTGGGATGTCAAGGCACAGAAAACGTAGAGTCTCAGTCAGGACACAGCAACAGGCTGAGAGTCTCACGGGAACGCCGAGCAAGACCGAGGAACCCGGGGACAGCGTCGAGTGCACACCCGAATCCCCACCACCTCACAGACCCCAGAGAGCAGCATGAAGCCAGGTGAGTCCCCAGACTGGTGCGTGGGGGCGTGTCCTCACAGCCCCCTTCCTCCAGCCCTCACTCTGTCCTTTTGTGACTCTGAAACAGCTGGGGGCCGCCTGCTCCTCCCGCTGCTGCTGGCCGCGGTGCTGACGGGAACCCGCGCTCATCCTGTGCCAAGGGCCACCAGGCTCCCATCAGATGCAAAAAAATGCCACCTAGCCCGGTTCAAATCTCTGGCCCCGCAAGAGCTGAAGGCCTTCAGGAATGCCTCGGATGCCATAGTGAGTCTGCCTCAGCCCTCCTGTGTGGATAGCCTCCAGTCCTCCCTTTCTGGGCTGTACCCCTTATGCTAAGTGGTATGAAAGTGGTCTCCACACTTCCTGCAGTGGGCTGACTTCAACTCTTGCTATAGTGGGCTAACCTCAGCCCTTCCTGCAGTGGGCTGACTACCACCTCTGCTGCAGTGGGCCTAATCACCACCCTTCTTGAGCGGGGACACATAGTCTACTCTTTCTGTAGTATTCTAAATCCACAGTCCTCCGGTGGGCTAATTTCCTCCCTCTCTTTGGTGAGCTAACGTCAGACTCTCCCATAGTAGGGACCTCCATCCTTCCCAAGCTGGGCTATCTTTCACTCTGAGTGCAGTGGCTGTCTAGTATCTGCTGCCATGAGGAGCTTCCATCTTTCTGGCAGTGAACTTCCCTTTTCCTGTTGTGACCATCCCTGCCCCAATGCAGTGGTCTTACCTTCACTCTCCTATATGGACTAACCTGTGTCTTTGCTCTCCAGGAAAAGTGGCTGCTCGAGAAAGATGTCAAGTGCAGCTCCCGCCTCTTCCCCAGGGCCTGGGATCTAAAGCAGCTGCAGGTGAGATGAGGCTAGACCCAGCCCGCCCTCAGCAGCCCACTGTTGGGCCTCTGCTCTCCCTGTCTCTGTCCACAGCAGACCCGTCATCTGTCCCCTGCCCTCGGCCTCTCTCTGTGCCTTGCCCTGTCCACCGTCCTGTCCCCTTGACCGGTCCCCCTTGACCTCCCCTCGCGGGTCCCTCACGTGTTCTCTGTTGTATCTCCTTGCTCAGGTCCAGGAGCGCCCCAAGGCCCTGCAGGCTGAGCTGGCCCTGACACTGGAGGTCCTGGAGAACTTGACTGACTCAGCCCTGGGCCCCATCCTGGACCAGCGTCTTCACACGCTGCGCCACATCCAGTCCCAGCTGCAGACCTGTGTGAGTCCTGGGTCCCCGGCTCCACAACATTGTGCCTCCAGCCACGGGGACTTCCCCTGTGTCCCAGCAGCAGGCTCACAGTCCCCTCCTCTGTCCACAGACACAGTCTCAGCCCACAGCAGAGCCCGGGTCCCCGAGTGGCCGCCTCTCCCTCTGGCTGCACAGGCTCCAGGAGGCCCAGGAGAAGGTGAGTCTGGAGAGGGACCTGGATCTGCAGAGCCTGGGAGCCCTGAGCCCCGGCAGCCCCTGAGCCAGCCCTGTCCTTTCAGGAGACCCCCGGCTGCCTGGTGGACTCTGTCACTTCCAACTTCGTCCGGCTGCTCATGGGGGACCTGAAATGTGTGGCCAGAGGAGATCAGTGTACCTGAGCTCAGACCCTCCTGCCAGCTGCTGGAATTCTGCACTGTGTGGACTCACCAAGCCTCCGCCTTAATTTATAGCCCTTATGACTTTTTAAAAAGTATTTATTTATGTGTGTGGGTTCTCAGACTCAGACCCCACAAAATGACTATTTTTCTACTTTTGTAAACAATCTGCAAATACACGATGAGAAAAGACCTTGTGGTGTGTCTTGTGAGTCTTGGCGTCGAGTCTTTCTTTTGCTGTCATGGCAAAGGAACCACCACTTCAGCTCTCCAGGGACACTCCTGCTTGCCTTGAGCCCTGTGGTCTAGCCTGGGCTACTGCTTTCTGCATCTGAGTCGATAGCAAGTCGTTTGTATTGGGCTCTTCCTGGGTTGTTCAGGGAACATCTCGTCTCTGTGGTTCTAGGTGTTGGCAGCAGGCTTCTCTGTGCTATGCTTTGCTTTGCCTTTTGAAACAGGCCTTCTGGTAGCCTAGGCTAGCCTCCAGATTGCTGTACAGCTGATGGCCTCAGACTCCTGTTTCTCCCATTTCCCCTCTGGAATGCTGGGGTTGCAGGAGTTCACCGGTGTGCTGGGCTCTAACAATAGTCACTCTCACTTCACCAAAGACGCCCTGGTGGATAAAGTTGTCTGCACTCTGTCATCTTCTCTTCTGGAACCTGCGTGAACTCAGCATTCCTTTCCCAAAGACAATGCTTCATGATGACACAGTCTCCTGTAGTCCAGGCTGACCTCAAACCTACTGCATAGCTGTGGCTTCCCTTGAGCTACTCATCCCCTGCCTGCTGGGATGACAGGCATGAGCCACCACATCGGGGTTTAGGCAGTGCTGGGACCTGAACTCACAGCTTCATGCATGCTAGGCAGGGACTGACCCTCTGAGTCACACCCTCAGCCTTGCTTCTCACAAGCCTTACCCATGGATGTCTGCAGCATATGCTGTCTACCACCAGCCGTTTAACACAGGCAGCATCTCTGAACCAGAGAGACCAGAGGTGAACCAGGATGTACATAGTCCATTGGTGATAGTCCATGCCTGAAATCCTGCACCCAGGAGGTGGAGGCAGGAGGGTCAGTTCAAGTCATCCTTTCCATTCTTTGAGTTTGTCACCAGCCTGGACTACGTGCGACCCCGTAGCCTCCCCAAAATGTTTATCTATTGTCTACAAGGTGGTACTGAAAATACTGCTCTCATGGGCCAATGGTTACATCTGAACATGTCTTCCAATAGGAGCATCCTAGACCCCTCTTGTCTTCCAACCCCTCCTCTCCTGTGTCCCATGTGATGCGCGCACATGGAGGATGTCGGTGGCCATCAGATGTCTTCCTCCATCACTCTCCACTGTGTTTATTGAGGCGGGGTCTCTCACTGAGCCAGAGCTCCCTGTGTCAGATTAGACAGCTTTCCCTGGGGATCCCCTGTCTCCACCCTTGTGTGCCAGGGTCACAGGCAGGTCACCAGATCCCACCAGGTGTTTATATGCAGTCTGGGGATCCAAACCTCAGTCTTCACACTTGAGTGGCAAACACTTTACCCATCTCCCTGATCCTTGCAATTTTGATTCTAATTTAATGTCTCCTTCAGGAGACAGCCTTTCCAGGCTGGCCAGAAGGCTCTGTGGGTGAAGGCACTTGCCACCAAGGGTGACGTCCTGAGTTTGATCCTTGACTCTGAATGACGGAAGGAGAAAATCGTCTCCTGAAAATGGTTTTCTGATTTCTATGTGTTTCCTGTGCAACACACATATGCACACATGTGCATGACTATTGTCACGCAGAGACCCCACTCTCTCTCAAAGCTTCCTCATCCTCCCCAGTGCCACTGAGGGTGCACAGGACAAGGGAACCCAGTGTTCGTCAGGTGCAGAGATCAAAACATTTTCCCCATGATGTGCTAATTCCCATCTTCCTCCTCTGCACACCGAGAAGACGTCGCTGAGGCAGTTGTCATAACTGCTGTAACTGAGAAGCAGAAAGAGAGCAGAGATGCGTGGCAGGAGGCAGTGTGGTGTGAGACAGGCTTCGGGGTCACCCAGGGACAAGCACAGTGGAGGCTGTGTTCTGTGGGCCCAAAGTGGCAGGTGTGGAGTCTGAGCAGTGGCACCCAGGTGTCCCTCTCCTGAGCACTATGAATGTGCATGTCTCAAGAACACGGAGCTGCGACCCAGGGTGTGGGTGCTGGCCCTGATGTCCTCAGAATAAACGCAGAGCCTCAGGGGAAAGCGACAGGTGAGAGCCTGGGAGGCTGGGCAGAGAGGAGGCAGGGATTGAAGCCAGGGAAGACGGCGCCTCAGTCCCTGAAGCAGAGCAGCCCTGAGATGACGCCCATCCCCAGTTCAGGCTACTTTCTCCATGTGGTGTCTGCGTCTAAGTGCAGGTTGCTCTTCTTGGTTTTGCTTGGCTTAAAACATTTAATTTTTTCTATCTATACATGTGTGCATACATGTGTGGCTTCTGGAGCTGGAGTGCAGGTGGTTATGGACCGCACTATGTGGGCTCTGGGAGCCAAACTCCGAAGCTCTGCAAGAGCAGTCAGTGCTCTTCACCACAGAGCCATCTCTCCAGCCCCACTTCAATTTTTTTTTATTGTGGAAAATACACATATTACCACCATATTAACTGGATCTTTTTATACTTACTATGTATTTGGGGGCATGCACACCACGGCACACAAATGGGGATCAGAAGACAGCTTTGGGGAGTCAGTTTTCTCCTCCACCATGTGGATCTCAGGGATTGAGCTCAGGCTGTCAGGTTGGCTGCGTGTACCTTTACTCACTGAGCCGTCTCTCTGGCCCCACCATATTTATTATTAACTGTGCAGTTTGGTGACCTCAAACACACTCGCTTTGTTCTGCAACGAGTTCCCAGAAGTCTTTACATCTTCCTGAATGAGGTGTCTCAGCACTTTGGAAGGAGCTGAAGCAGGAGAATCACGCATTTGAGGCCACCATGGACTACCTCGTTATTCCCTATTTTTAAAGACAAAACAACAGGCCGGAGAGACGGCTCAGCGGTTCTGAGCATGCGCTGCTGTTCTTGCACAGAACCTGAGTTTAGTTCCCAGCACCAACACGGGTGTTCACAATGATCTGTAACTCCGATTCTGGACCAGAGAATCTGGTGCCCCCTTCTGGCCTCCACATGCAATAAATTACACAGGATGCACTTATACACATGCAGCTTCTCATACACATAAAGAAAATAAATAAATCCTTAAAAAACAAAACAGAAGCAAGTTTTTTCACCATGAATTGAATTCTACTTCCATTTAAGCACTGAATTCCCTTCTTCCTCCTGACAGCTGTTGCTTTCCCTCCATCTCTGTGAAGCTGGCCTCACCAGGAGCATCACATGAGTGCAACCACAGTGCTGGCCCTTTTATGCCTGACTTATCTAGCTTACTATGGTGTCCCAGAGTTCATCTCTGATAGAGTGTGTGGCAGGATATGCTTCTTTTTGAAGGCTGCATTATATTTTACTGACCAAGCCTCTTATCAGCAGGAAGTCTGGTGGTTTTTGTTTGCTTAATTGGTTATTATTATTGCTATTTTTATTATTACTATTATTGGCTTTTTGAGACAGGGTTTCTCTGTGTAGCCCTAGCTGTCCTGGCACTCACTGTATAGACCAGGCTGGCCTTGAACTCAGAGGCAGATTCTCCTGCTTCTGCCTCCCGAGTGCTGGGGTAAAAAGTGTGCGCCACCACCGCCCGGCTGGAAAGTCTGAGTTTTAAACTTCTAAGTCTCTGGTGAGTCGTTACAGCAGTCACGGGGAGCTCATGCAAGCAGCTTTTAAAGTCTACTTAGAATGAATGAAAATACGGGTGGGTTTTCTGCCTTCCGTGGGTGGGGGTGGTAGGTCAGAAGTCCTGCCCATGGGGTGGGTGTGGGAGTGAGGATGCTGTCTCACACCCTGTCCCCTTCTGCCGAGCACAGGCTGGCTCTTAGGCATGGCTGGCTTCCATGTCCTGGGGGCATGGAGCTGGTGGGGGCAGCAGAATATTTCTGGAAAGTCTTTCACCTCTAGAGAGTCTCTATTTGAGCACCATACTCTTAGAAAACATTGCCTGGGTGTCCAACAAGCCCGCTCCATTTTCTGCAGGAGGTGGGATATCAAGTCCTAACACACTCTCCCATACTGGCATTCACGTCCTCCTCTTTGACTCAAGCCAAAATGGTACCAAGTCTGGTCCTGCAATGGAAGCCACCTTCCCAAGGGCCTTGGTGAGGTTTACATCGGTTTCCCTTTCTCCGAAGTTCAGCAGGCTCTGCCTGAATCCGGTCTCCCCAAGCTGGAGGCTCCCCCTGGCGGCACGTACAGACCTCACACCATTTTTCTCCTCTCGACTCTGCAGCCCCTGCCTTGCTGACCTGGCAGGGTGGATCCAGGCCAGGCTGAGATTCCAGAAAGAGCTGAGGGTTTCCACACTGTGAAGATGAAGAGGAGCAAAAGGCCAGAGGTTCCCAACGGGAGACCCTGGACCACCCAGAGAGACAGACACCCCGGGGAAGAGGCTCAGGAGCCAGGAATAGGTGGGGTGAGTGCAGAGTGAATCATTCAGGGGACACAGGACATTTTGAAGCTAACTTAGTCCTTCCTGTCGGGGGTAACCTCCGTCCCTTCTACACGGGCTAACTACCTTACTTTTCGCATGGCAGAACATTCACCTCTCCTGCAGGGGCTAACCTGTGACCCTGCTCTCCAGCAAGAGAGGCTGCTGTCGGGTGCAGCTTTTGCCTTGTCCCTGGTGTGTGTGTGGGGGGGAGCCCACTGGGGAGTAGGGGCAGCTGCGGATGTGTTGGAGTTAGCCCCAGCCTGCCTTTTGCTGGTCCACTCATCTGCTTCTTCCATTGGTCCCTTCATCTTTTTCCAATTTCTTGCCCCTACTCTGGGTCACGTGTTCCCTCGCTGACCAAGCTGTGTCCTTTCTGCTGGTCTTCCTAGCCTGTTCCTGGATGTTTTCCTTCTGTCTTTTCTCCCAACTATTGTTCCTATTGTTCTATTGTTCTCACCTTAAATTT